ATTATTCTTCGTCTCTGCCAGCTGCTGACTGACGGCTGTCGGTTTCCTTGACTTGTAGTCACGTCACTTCAGCCTCTGCCTCCGCGGTCACTTGGCCTCCTCCTCTTCTGTCTGTCAGATCTCCCTCTGCCTCTCTCTTACGAGGACACATTGGATTTAGCGCCCACCTAGATGATCCAGGATAAACCTTTCCTCTCAAAATCCTTAACTTAATCACACCTTTTGCCATATAAGGTAATAGTCACTCTTTTATCATATAAGGTAATACAGGTTTCGGGGATTAGGACAGAGACATAGACATCTTTTGGGGGCCACCATTTAGGCCTTACAGGCAATCAGTGTGAAATGAAGAGAGGTGGTCCAAGACTGAGCTCTGGGGCGCTGCAGTGTCCGGAGGCCAGCAAGAAAACACAGAGCCAGTGATGGAAACGGAAGGGAGGTGGAGGGCGAGAAGGAGAGTCCAAGTGTGGTATCTGAAGAGGGACGTGTTTCAGTAAGGGAGGAGGTGGCTAACTGTGGAGAAGGCCTCTGAGTGACTCAGAAAATAAGGACTGGGCATTGATTATTAGACTCGAGAACTTGGTAAACTTGCTAAATTGTGGTTCAGACAGTGCATACTCACATCTGTTGTGGTCCTTAATGCTGAATACAACTTCCAATGGGTTATTATCCTGTTTGAGCTGTAGGAGCAGTGGTTGGCCAAGTGCTTCAATTGCGAAAAGTTATTCCATGATGTATTTCTTTTCTTTTCTTCTTCTCTATTTGAAGTTCTATGTGTGTGTTGTGTCAGTAACTTTGTTTCTTCAAACTGTTATAAGCTCATGGTAGAAATTTTGGAAATTGTAAAAAGAAAAAAATTAAAGTTATTTAATTTTAAATTGCATCTAAAGTGCTGCCATTTTGGGGGTGACTCTTTTGTTTTCCCTTTTAAAAATTGGGCTCTGAGGCTTTTTGTTTTTTTCAAATTTCACTGAATTTACTGTATGATTTCTTAGGAGTAGGTGAAGGAAATGTGGCCTAGAATGTCACCCTATGGTCTTTTGGCTGGGGTCTAGCTGATATGAATGGCTGGGCAAGTGACCTGCCACAAGGCTGAGCAGTATGTTGAAGAGGAGAGAGCCCTTCCCACACAGAAGGTGGCTATTCTGGGGAGGGAAATGCAGGTAGAGCCATTCCACTTGTAGAATATCCAAAAGACCTGGAAACATCGTTCAAGGGCCAGTGTTCTCAATTTGTCTCCTTCGTCCATGACACATTTGTAGAGAGGAAACCTTACTCAGATTAATATGAGGGAAGTGATAAAAAAAAGCTCTTAAAATTTCAGAAAGCTAATAATGGAACTGGGAAGGTCTTAGTATCATATTGATAGTTTGCTTTTCATAATGACTCAATCAGACTCATGAAAGATCAGTCTCAGGGAGAACAGTTCCAAGGTGGAATAAATTTAAAGTAAAAATCATCGGATTCGTCTCTGTCTAAAACACATAAACCGAGATTGGCACGAGGAGCTCAGAGGTGGCATTGAGCATGCCATACTGTGGCTCAGAGAGTAGATTCGGAGATAAAATCCTCCTGAGGTCGCCTCTCCCTACCCAATCAGCACCATAAGATCGTGATACTAGAGTTTGACCAGTGCTTCTTGCTTTGATTTACACAACTATCTCTGTAGAAAGGGCCCACTGAACTTGTTTTCTAATCCAGATTTCCTCTTGAAGCTTTGACAAAGCCCTTTCATTTTCTGTTAGTCAAGTTGCCTCAATTTTATGAGTGAGTCTGTGGATATTGGAAAATATAAATTTCATAAAGATGCCAAATCAATTCTAGGCATTCAAGACCCAATATAAGTAGGCAGAATATGTTGTTAGGGAATACTAGGTCAAAATTTTTAGGGATTTCAGTAAAAACAGGAAGAAATAAATTCTTATTTTTATGATTTATAAACTCAGAATATGATCTGCTAACAAATTGAGATCTGTACTCTTATCCCACGTTTGACTTCTTGTATTTTGCTTTGCCAAAACTCTGATGAGAAAAAGGTCTGGAAAGGGGAAATACGGAAACTTGTTTTATATAAGCTGAATCACTTGTTAATATGTATTATTAAGGGCCGAGAATGAATTTTAGAATTTAATGTTCATTGTATTTGTCTTCCAATCAACCGAAAGTTATTGAGAATACCATATGGTTTTAGAAGATATATTTGGTGTCTTTGGGAACTTGAGGCTACTAAATTATTAACAGCTGTTAGAATGGAATAGACCAAATGTACTTGGAGTTAAGTTCTTTGTGGTGGGGAAATTTGTGGGTTTCCTGGGTAAACCCATCTAATGAGAAGAATAACTCACAAATACATTAGCTGGTTGCACAAGATGAATAACTTTTCCAGAAAATACAAGAAAGATGAGAGTGAAGATAAAAGGATGTAACATCAGTTGAAAAAGTATATAATTAAACAGGGAAAATAATACTGCCAATTGATAAGAGTTCCGTCATGCCTAGGGGTTCTCAGCGTAGGCACTACTGACATTTTGGGCCAGATAATTCTTTGTTGTGGAGTCTGTCCTGTGCATTGCAGGATGTTTAGCATCTCAGGCTTCAACCCCCTTGATGCCAGTAGAACACCCTCTGCAGTCGTGACAACTAGAAATGTTTCTAAACAAAGCCAACTGTCTTCTCAGGGGTAAACTTGCCCCTGCTTAAGAATCGTTGAGCTAGACTATACAAATAGCTCCCAAAGTCACATTCTAGTTACATACTGAGGATAAAACAGGATGAAGGGGCAGGCTTATTGAGAACTTTCGTTGTCGAACATGTTATTGGGATGGGGTTTCATTTGGGAAGCATTTTAATTAAGGTGTAGCTCCTGCATTTATATCATATTGATGAAAAATCATTTTTTTTTTCAATCTAGAGTTAAACGAGTATAATAGTATTAATAATGTAGGTGACGAGATTGTCTGTAAAAAGCCTTCCAGAAATATGCAGAGCTGCCAGAGTTATTTCCTCAAACTAAGTCTGTAGTAGCATGGCACTGGGGAGATTTTTCTGGGTATAACTTTCCACTTGCTTAAATTTCACCACATAGTAGAGACTACTTGGAGGCTCACATAATCTTATATGCTTGTCCTCATATGTTCTAGACTAAACGGCACTCATGTCAGAGACGATTGGCATTCACCAAACATCCTCATGATCCTCTGCCTTTACCAGCCTCCCTGCAGGTAATTAGTTCCATCCTGAGAAATGTGAGCTGACCTTAACTTCTGGGCTGAGGAATTTAAGAGCCAGAGTGCCTCTGACATACCTCTCTTGCCCTATCATTGCAGCTTTGGGGGCCTTGCCAATATGTGTCCTTGAGAACCAAAGAAATAGCTGCTTCTTTTTTTTCATTGTCTCTGTTTTCTCTTCTGTTTTTTGGAATGTTCATTAGTTGGATGTTGTACTTTCTGAATTGATCTGCTTAATTCTCTTTTATTTACAATTGCCGTCATTTTATCTATTTTTCTGCTTTCTGTAGCCCAGTTGGAACTTGATTGCATGGTATAGAAGGTTCACCTAAGACTCAGGAGCACAGATATTGCTCCCAGTTGCCTTTGTTCGTGTTAATGATCTGCTGTTGAGAAAGCCACGTGCATGCGAGGTGAACTGTTACTTGGAAGGGTGCTGTGCACCATCTAGCACGTTCTGCATTGGAGGAAGGCCAGGAGGTTGGGGTGTTTTTTTCAGTAAATAAAGGATGAAAAGACAGACTTCAGACTTGGGAGGCAGTACATATATCATGGACATTAAGAGCATGACCTCTGCTGCCAACTGCCTGGATATGAATTTCAGTTTTGACATTTATTAGCTGTGTGATCTTTGGCAAGTTCCATAAACTCTCTGAGCCTGACTTTTCTGATCTTTAAAATGAATATTTGTAGGTATAGGTTGTAAGTATGTAATATATGTTAAGCTCTTAGACGAGTACCTGTTCTGTAATGTATAATCCTTCCTTCCCCTCTTTTTCTCCCTCTCTCCTTCCCTTCATTTCTTCCTTATCTTCCCTTAAAGTGCTTCTTTTATTATAAGTGCTACGTAGATGCTGTTACTATTAACTGGGTCATGAATCAAGCGCATTATAATGAGCCTATGAGGTCAAGAATTGTTTGAGTTCAACAGAGCCTGTTATATTTCTCACTGTATATTCCCACAGTTAGTATGAATAAGTTAAGTGCTTTTATAATTCCAGTTGCTCCATATTTTCTACCAGGCGCAGGACTGCTGCTAACATAAATGATACTTATGGGCAAAGAAAAAGGTGCCCTCTTCTCTGGGCATGTCAGTGTTTGCGCCTGTTTTGGCGAGCAGAGCGTGAGATGGATAAATCCAGCTGCTAAAAGTGCTCCCGCAGGCACCTGCAGACTTGATACCGCACAACTGTGCAGAGCCCTGACTGTGCGTTTCTCCTCGAAGGAACTCTCTCTCACACACCAGTATGCATTCAGTCACCGGGACTGGATTTCTAGTAATGGCCATTTGCTGCCTGAATTTCTTTGCCTTGCCTTGCTGCTGTCAAAGAAAGTGTGTGGGTGGCACAGCCAGCCCATCACTTGAAAACCTGGGTATGAGAGGGAATCAACGGCTACGTTGTAAAGTCCATAACCCTATGGGTGTTTGTAAACCCTTGAGACTGATCGAGATCACTTAGGTATAGTGAACAGAATAAGAGGACAGAAGGACCGAGGGCTGAGCCCTGAGGACCTCAAACTTTCAGAGATCACCTGAACATATGTATGGGAGTGGGCAGAGGGGATTGAAAAGGAAAACTTACAAGGGAGGAGGAAAGTAAAGGGGAAGTAGCCACAGAAGGTAAGAGAGGAGAGAGATGAAAAACCAAAGCCTATGCTTTGTGAATAGCTATGGGGGTTACTTGGTTGTGCAAATCATTATAATAATTCCTGACCAACTGCAAGGTAATGCTAGCATTTCTATTTCTCCCTGATCAACCTCCTGTCTCGTAGGTTAAAGCCTCCGATGCAGATGCAGGACTCTATGGCTTTGTTGAGTATTCTATCTATGATGGATTCCAGAGCTATGAAGCATCTCAAGCATTCTGGATCGACCCTCACGATGGGCGAATCTGTGTTTCTAAAGATATCGACAGGGAAAGGGATCCAGCCATCTATGATCTCCTGGTGAAAGCTAAGGATGGGGTAAGTCTTTATGTATGAAATTTATTTCAAATGTACTCAAAAGTGAGCCACTGTGTACACATCACAGAGTACCTATGACTATCAACAATTGGCTAATTTTGTTTCTTATATAATCACCTCTTTCCTTTGCTGAAGTTTTTTGAAGCAAATACTAGGCAATATATCATTTCATCCAAAAATCATTCAATAATATCTCTAACAGATAATGACTCTTTAAAAATATAACTACAAAATATTAACAATAATACTTTAATAATACCTAATATCCATTCTGTGTTAAATGTTCTGTATTATCTAAACATGTTGGTTTGTTTGAATCAAGATCCAAATAAGTCCATAAATTGATTTGATTGATATATCCCTTAAGCTTCAATCTGTAACAGCCAGACCTCGTACCTTTTCTCCTATGGCATTTAAAAAAAAAAGTAAATCAAATCATTTGTCCTGTAAATTTTCTGCATACTGAATGTAGCTGATTACATCCTTGGGATTAATTTAATGTGTTCTTCTATGTCCTTTATTTCCTATAAACCAGCATTTAGAGCCAGAGACCTGATTAGTTTCAGGTTCATTTAGGTGATGCCATGTGCCTCTTATTGTATCAGCAGACACATACTATTATATCATTAGAGATTGCAAAATGGTGGTTTTCTAATACTATTACCCCTTTTGCATTTATTACCTGGAATTCTTCGACTAAGAAGAGTGTTCTCATACCAACTATTTGATTACCCTGAAATAAATATGAGGAAATGAGGAAATGCAGGATAATGCTTGATTATTTCTCTTTATTTTACCTGTGTTTTGAATAGTGAGTCGGTGCCTTAACAATCTCCCAGGGTGACAAGTAATTTTGTTCCCCTAGCTTGATTATAAATCCCTGGATTTTTGTATATTTGATGTGTTCAAATACGTCACAGACCCTGTCGTTTCCGATGTTCATATTGACCCATGCTTGGTCAGCAGAGGCATCTGTAATTTGGTTCCTACATCTTTCTTTGGTTGTTGTTGTTAAAGTTGTAAATTGTCATATAAAATGCATACAGAGATGGGCATAAATCATAAGTGTATAGCTCAATGGATTTTTGCAACATGAACAGAGCATGGAGGCAGATGAGGAAACATTCCAGAACCCAGATGCTGCTTACTGCACCTGTCCTGCCCCTACTCTTTAAGGATATAACCCTATTGACTTCTAACACCAAACGTTAGCATGGCAGGTCTATGCCTTTCAGTGAATGGAATCATACAGTATGTGTTTCTATCTAGTTTCCTTTACTGAGCATTATTCGTTAGAATCCTCCATACTGTTGTGTGTAGCAGTAGTTCATTTATTCTCGTTTGTTTGTCGTGTGCTTTTATGTGAATATACAATAATTATTTTTATCTATTCTGTGATTGATGATATCCATTTTAATCTACTGCAAATACTGCTTCTATTAACATTCTTATAATTTGGTGGAAAAATGTAAACCTTTCTGTTGAGTATATATTTAGGAGTGGAATTGCTAGATTATAAGAAAGACAAACAACTTTTCAAAGTGTTTCTACTTATACTCCCACTAGTAAAGTTTGAAAATTTCATCTGTTATACATCTTTTCCAACATTTGATATTTAATATCTTTTTAATTACAGCAATTCTAATACTTGTATAGTGGTAAATCACATTGAGGTTTTACTTTGTATTACCTCGATGATCAATAAATTGAACATTTTTTTCATATCTTTTTTGGCTAATTGTATAACTTGTTTCATGATGTGTCTACTCAATTCTTTGTACCTATTTTCCATTGTATTGTTGGATTTTTTTTTTATTGACTTGTATGAGTTCTTATATTTTTGGTATGCAGGTCCTTTGTTTGATATATTTATTGCATATATTTTCTCCCATTCTGTGACTTGGCTTTTCTTATCCTTTATGGTGCTTTTTGAGGATCAGAGATTCTTAATTCTAATAGAGCTCAGTTTCTCAATTTGTTTCCTTTTACAGCTAGTGCTTTTTATGTCCTTTTAAGAAGTATTAGCTTATCTTAGGGACATGAAGATATTCTCCTATGTTTTCTTCCAAAACCTTTATTTTATTTTACCTTTCACCCTTATTTTTTTCAAGCTAATGAAAGGAAGGTTTCTTTTTTTTTTTTCCAATATGGATATTCAGTGAACCCAGCATCATTTATTAAAATGATCATTTCTTCCTCACTGCACTAGAGTGTTACTATTGTCATGAATCGTTTGACTGTATATGTATGTGCCTGCTTTTGGACACCCCTCTTTTTTTTTAAGCTCTTTGTCTGCCTTAGCACCGTACTATCTTAATTAGCAACATACTAGCAACATACTATCTTAATTATTTTAGCTTTATAATACCTCATGATATCATGTATTCTTTTAGCTTTGTCCTTATTAAGATTGCCTTGACTATTCCTAACCATTTACATTTCCAAATATATTTTCGAAACAAATTGTTCAATTTTCATTACATTATAGCACAGGTAGCCTATGATATACAATGTTCTGCACTTTGATTTTTTCACTTAGCCAATTGGAGACTTTCCTTGTTTCTTTTTTATCTGCTTACTACTCCTTTGTGTAGATAGACACTACTAACAACTCTCTGGTCTAATTTTTCTCTTTTGAAATTAGTAGGAGGGAAAATCCATCTCCTTAAGACTAGGTGTTGGGAAAAATGAATCTAAATATATTTATTACAAGTAAACATGAAAATAAAGTCATTTATGTTCAATAAAATATCCATAATCTATTGGTCAGGTTTTTGTCAATATCTAATGATGTGGTTTCAGGAATCCCTGATTCTATGTAAGGAAATATGTGGGGAACAAAAGCAGGAGTAAACAGAGAGTTTAGATTAATTCAAGTCTACATGATTATTTAAAGCTCAGAAGGTGCACACACAAATGTTAATCCAAGACTTTGTAAATGTATTCTTAATAGAATTTACGACAATTGTAAAATGCCATCCTAGGATTGAATAACCAGTTTAAATCCAACAATCTCATAAAACCACCAAAAATAGTTAGCTGTGTCTTCCAGGCTGCCATCTGATGTCCACTCTGACCTAAAGGAGCCTCTGTAGATTTGACCTACTCCCAGGTCTTGGTGGCCAAATGCAGGACCCAGAGATCCTTGTGTAGTAGAACTGCTGTCCATCAGGAGAAGCATGTCCCTGCCAAGACCCATAGCTGTCTGTCTCCTTGAGGAACCACAACAGCCTGGAGAGCACAGAACCTCGGAGGTGGATTGGGAATTTCGATTTTAGTCTAGGTGTCCTTCCTGATATCATAGGTACAGAGCTCGTTATACAAACAAGTTCGCTGGCTGTTGAAATATTCACCTCTGAAAACTCACTTCATCATTTTAGGATGAATTGATCATGAGCAGAGAAGACTTAGGTAACTTTGGTGTGAAGGTGGGGAACACAGTGTTTCTATTACATCTAATACAATCTGAGTCTTTCTAGCATCTAGTGTCTGGAAAAGGGTTACTAGAGCTTTAAGTTCTCCTCCCCTGAAAGCTGTAACAGCTTCTCGTTGGCAGGGAGCTGCGTGCGGGAGAGAGCCCTCCTGGAAGCAAGTCCTTATGGGGGCAGGGCCTAGCATGAGGTCAGGGACATACTTTTATTTTTATTTATTTATCTATTTATTTATTTTTTTTTT